GGCCACTACTTTAGAGAACCGAATTAGTATGTAAGTGTGTAAGTATGGACAATGACCGAAACGAAGATGGCCGCACATGTGAGTAACGTGTTGCCAGAATACGTTTCAAGATGTGTTGCCAGATTTTCCAAGCGTAAGAATATTATAGAGGCGAATATAATAAGTTATATTATTTTACAAGTTTAATAGCAATTATAAGTATTATGTTTACAGCGTAAGAATATTATAAAGGCGAAAAATGATAAGTGGTAATTTAATATGTGTTTAAAAGCAATTATGGGTATTATGTACGCAGAATTCTCCTTCTTGTGTTGCCTTGCCAAGCATATAAAACACCTTCTGACATCGTAGTATTTTTGTGGCAGGACATTTTTTGCGTAGGCGGTCTTCGGCCGCGCTTGGGGATTATAACCCTTACTACGCAGAATTCTCCTTTCTGTGTTGCATTTCCAAGTGTATAAAACACCTTCTGACATCGTAGAATTTTTGACGCAAAACTCTTTCTGCGTATGCGGCCTTCGGCCGCGCTTAGGAATTATAACCCTTACTACGCAGAATTATCCTTTTTCGGTTGCCTCGCCAAGTGTATAAAACACCTTCTGACATGGTAATATTTTTGACGCAGAACTCTTTTTGCGTAGGCGGCCTTCGGCCGCGCTTAGCAATTATAACCCTTACTACGCAGAATTCTCCTTTTTGTGCTGCCTGGATAGGTGTATAAAACGTCTTCTGACATCGTAGTATTTTTGACACAGAACTCTTTCTGCGTAGGCGGACTACGGCCGCGTACAGGGATTATAACCCTTACTACGCAGAATTCTCCTTTTTGTGTTGCCTTGCTAAGAATATAAAACACCTTCTGACGTCGCAGTATTTTTAACGCAGATCCCTTTCTGCGTAGGCGGGCTTCGGCCGCGCTTAGGGATTATAACCCTTACTACGCAGAATTCTCCATCTGTGTTGCGAAGAAAATGACCAGAAGTGTTTTTGAGCAGCAGAACTTCTTTTTGCGTAGGTGGCCTGCGGCCGCGCTTATGGATTATAACCCTCACAATGTAGAATTTTCTTTCTGTGTGGGGAAGAAAATAAGCAAAAGTACTTTTGGGCAGAACTTCTTTCTGAGTAGGCGCTTAGGGATTATAACCCTCACAAATTAGATTTCTCTTTCTGTGTCGCATATAAAAGGAGCAGAAGTATTTTGGAGCAGAACTTTTTTCTGTGTAGGCGGCCTACGCCCGCGCTTAGGGATTATAACCCTCACAAAGTAGAATTCTCCTTTTGTATTGCGAAGAAAAGGAGCAGAAGTAATTTTGAGCAGAAGTTTTTTCTGCGTAGGCGGCCTACGGCCGCGCTTAGGGATTATAACCCTCACAAAATAGAATTCTCTTTCTGTATTGCGAAGAAAAGGAGCAGAAGCAGTTTTGAGCAGAACTTCTTTCCGCGTAGGCGGCCTACGGCCGCGCTTAGGGATTATAACCCTCACAATGTAGAATTCTCTTACTGTGTCGCAAAGAAAAGGAGCAGAAGTATTTTGGAGCAGAACTTGTTTCTGCGTAGGCGGCCTACGGCCGCGCTTAGGGATTATAACCCTCACAAAGTAGAATCTTCTTTCTGTGTTGCGAAGAAAATGAGCAGAAGTATTTTTGAGCAGAACTTCTCAACAATAAAAATTACTATACTACAATTATGATGTATATTTAATTCATACAATCAATAGTTATTATCATTTTACTGAAAAATTACATTATCTGCACACATAATACTCATAATAGCTATTAAAGTCATAACAAAATAGCACTTATCATATTCGCCTTTATAATATTCTTAGGTTGTGAACATCTGGCAACACATTTCGAAACGTATTCTGGCAAGACGTTACTCACACGTGCGGCCATCTTCGTTTCGGTCATTGTCCATACATACATTCATACATACTTTCGGTGGTCTAATGGAAAATAAACATATTATTTATAAACGTGTTCCTCATCGTTCAATAATGAAATTAATAAAATATAAAATAGATAAATGTTCAAAGAGCTTAACTTAGCTGGAATGTGTGTTTTCTGCATACTTGTATTTGTTTGAAATGGTTTGTTATCGTACATTTTGTTAGGTGTAATTTTCAACTTTAACAACAAACTACTCGTAAACTATGAGTTTCCTCGCCGTCCAGTTTTCAGTTTTGTGATGTGTACGACCCTCTCTACACCTCCCATAAAGTTATTTTGTTCAAAGCGTGGTGCACTCTCGCGAAGTCAACCCTAGTTTTTAGCTACCGGAGTCTTATGGTTTTTAAGACTATGTTCAAACAGGCCAAATAGCTGAGGCAATTAAGCTTTAAATTGCGGAATTGAGTTTTGTGTTCACACATACGTCAGCTGCCCAATTAGCGATACGAAATCAGCTGCTGGATTACCTACAGTGATAGAAAAGTTGGTACAATCGTACCTTTATTTAGTTTGAAAGTGCATTCGGTACAAACAGACAATTTTAGGTACATTTGGAACGTAGCCATATAACTTCTCAGGAAATCAGTTCTTATTATACCCGAGCGCACTTGTGCACAAGGGTATTATAACTTTGTTCACATAACGGTTGTTTGTAACAGGCAAAACGAATCGAGATAGATATAGACAAATGTATACATAAATGATCAGAATGAAAAGAGAAATCGATTAAGCGGTGACTGTCTGTCCGTCCGTCCGTC